TTTATATTTAATGCAATAGTTTGAAATATTTTATGGTAATTTCAGATGTGTGCTCAGAATGTGTAACTCAAAGATGAAATGAAACCCAAGTTTTTGTTAAGAAAATTTCAACCTATACATTTATTCAAATTGAGGCACTTAAATTAATTACTGCTGTTGTCTTTTTGATTTCATCCATTAAAGTCAACAAAACCCTTAAATTATTTTTTTAAATATCACATCAAATTTAATTTTTGTTGGTTTCTATTCAAATAAAGTATGTAAAAGATTCTCAATTATTTCCATTTCTTTCTCATGTTCGTCTCCTTTTTTATAAAGTATTCAACACAAACCTAAATAACATTACTTTCAATATAAAAAGCTCGACATTATATTGAATCAAATTGTTCGTAGAAAGCCTTATAGCCTCCCACGTATTCAAGAGTATAGACACCACCAAGAGTTTCTTCCTTAATTAATGTTTCATCACGTTTTCATTAAAATTAAGCACCGTTGAGGGAGAATATTCTCTCTCTAATGAGAATGTTACAGTCAGCTACAGTAAAACTTGACTAAAACTTGACCAATATTAGTTGGATGTTGAAAACTTCATCGTAGAAAAATCGTTTACCTTGAACAATTTTTATTCTTAGTTTCTGCGTAACTATACAATTTTTTATATGGTCGTTTATTTTTTATTTATCTTGACTTTTTACAAATAAGAATATTCATTTCCAATTAAAATTCTAATGTCACCATGAGTCATTTTGAAGATTTCCGTTTTTATTTCCATTTAAATATAGAAAAGATTCTCAATATCAACGAATTTCTGTTAAGAGCTTTACATTTATAATTTAGATGTAATATAAGCGTAAGAGGATATATCAATGAATCTTACATGTCGTTTTATTTTATTGCATTCGACTATAATCTTTTGTGATGATTGAATTCACCTTTCCTGTTTTAATTCTTAATGAGATTTTTGGGTATATATTTTTCTTTTAGAATTTCATTAAAAATTTAAACTTTTTAAAAACCATAAAAACTGTGACGTCAACAAAAAAGCGATCTTGAGTTTTGTCAGCCATTATGGTTGTTATAAACAACAGGTATAAAGTGTTATGAGAAGAAAATTGGGAGTCCGATGAGGTCAAAACTTTTCCCATCTCCAACTACTATCTCCTTTTGAATTACATACAAAAAATTCAATAACTCCTAAAATCTTACCTAGTTTTTAAGTTTGATATAAAATATATTTTTTGTAAAGAAATTTTATGCTTTATCGTAATTTTTTCGTATTATATTTTTTTTTTTTTTGGTTGGATCTATAAAATAACATAGTAATGTAATAAAATTTCCCGCCTTTAGATATGTTATCGATTAAGATTAATAATTTATTTCTGGATTTTTTCGGTTTCAATGTGCATATTCGGTGAAGTCATTTTTTGTGGTAGACCAGAAGTTAATATGATTTTTAAATGTTGTAAACAAATTAAATGTTGATTTTATAGCTTAAGAATTTTTCATCATCAAATTTAGTTTACTACTTGTGCAATAAAATGGCACCGTCATTTTTCCATTATTTAGGCACTGAATAAAGTCAAGTTTATTTCCTTTCCATAGTTTCCTCATTTGGTTTACGTCATTAAATTGATTGAATTTCTTTCTCAAAAAAACTCAAGGGACCATCACCAAAACTTTTTCTTTTATTGCAAAAGTTTTGCAAAAAATAAACTTCTTCTTTAATTAAAGTTTTTGAAATGACAGGACCCACCTTAAGAATTGCTACTCATAATTTATCAGAGAATTTTTTCTTTCAGTTATTCTTAATAAAAGAGTTAAAAAAATTATGATTTCTCGATGTAAAGTCAACTGACTTTCAAATGTAATATGGCTTTCCACAATTTACGGACTTGTAAATTTAAATCTCCGTAATCCAAAAATAAGGATTCAGAAAGGTCATTTAAATTAATTAAAAATATTATCGTTCTTAAAGATGAATTCTTATCTAAGTGCAACGAATGCTCAAATCTGACGTAGGAAGAAAAAAAATGGAAACGTCAAAGAATCATTCTTAGACATTGAATTTCAGAGGGTGTAAAATTAACATCAATTTATGTAATTAGAGGTTGAACGGGGTTAAACATAATTTTGAATGGTGTAAAAACATGTAAGAGAGAAAAAATCTTTGTTGAAATAAAACTTTTTTTTAATATTCCACGAAAAAAAAATACTAAGCATTTTTACACAAATATTTTGAGCATTTTTAGTGAATTCAATGAGTAAAAGTTTCTTACCTTAAAAGGTGTTAACAAGTTTTTAAAAATATTATTTTTTAGGATAAAACTAGGTTGGGGGTTTGAGGAATGTTTTTGGTTACATCCAACTCCACCTCTGTTTATGAGATTTCATTCACCTCATTTGCATAAATTCTACGAATTCTTCGAACATTTTCAGGCCAAAAGAAATAACTTTTCATTATAGAAAGTTTTAAATCTTCTCCACAAGAGAAACACCTATTTTAAGTGCTGATGCGCAACGATATGATATCTAAACTTTTGTTTGTCCTTGAAAATGTCATCGAAATTTTATTTAACCTTTTATTTGCCGTTCCTATAAGTTATAAACAACAAAAATTTATTATTTATGTACCTATATTTTTCGTTATGTCAAAAGCTTTTATACTTTAATACGAAAGCTAAACACTAACTTTTCTTTTCATGAGATATTTATTTTGTTGCTCAAGAAAATAATTTTATTGGATTAGAATGAGATTTTTTTTTTCTTCTTTTCCTTAACCATCAACAACGAAATAAATGAGAAGATTTTTCTTCTGTTTAACAAGATTTACAGAAATAAAATTAGCTTAAATGTGAAGTATAAGAAATGTGCGTAATATTTCATTCAGTCATTAATTTCTGGAGATTGGGTTATGGCTCAGTGAAAAGGAAAATTTGATTTCGTTTTTGCTGAAGTTTATGCGTGTTTTAATTACAAAAGTTTTGCTCTTTTTCTGGAAAGAAGTATTAGGTTTTTATGATATAAGATTTTTTGGGTTGATTAGACTTTGACTTTTATCCCCCCAACTTAAAGTTTTAAAAATTTTATATTTTATAATACAAATTGAAATAATTGTTTGCATGTGAAAAATGAAATCTATATTAACAGCCATAAAAATCACACAAAATTATCACAAACAGTTGGTCAGCCGATCATATTGTTGTTTCCTTTGCATATTAACACAAAAATCAGATTATTGTACTTATGTTTTTAGAATTTTCATGATAAGATTATTCCACAAAATAACTTGTTCATTCATATCACACAATAAATATGATTTCATTTTCGATTCAAGCATTATGTGTATATCATACTCTTAATAAATATGATATGAAAGTAACCTGCTGATCTGGTAAACTATATTATTTATGTTAATACAATCTCTTTTCATCATAAAGAGCAGTGAGACAAAATAGTACGTCCTAAATATAAATTTAAGTATTACATATGTTTGATTAAGTTTAAAGACAAAAAAACTTAAGGCAACAATCAAATAGGAAGAAAGAAATTTCAACTAGCTGAAAGTTTCAATAAATATTTCATTAAAAGCGTGAGTGAGACAGGATTAAGCATACTTGAATCAATTAAGCCTTTAAATTTTTCCCCATTACCAAATTCAATGGGTCTTAAAGAGACTGACAGCTTAGAAGTTGCTAATGTTATTAATTCCTTAGAGAATGTTTCAACAATTGATGGAATAAAACCCCAAGTTCTTAAAATTTCTTGAAAAAGATTTATCACATCCAATAAGCCACATCAATCAAATGTTTCATACATGGCTCGTTCCCGATAACTTTAATTCTGCAAGTGTGGTTCCGATTAAAGAAGAGCGTTTTCAATCCTCACCCCAATTAAAAGTTTTAATATCAGAGATCGTACTTTATTTAATCAAAGTGGAAATCTTACTTTAAATGAATTAAAAAGAGAATTTGGATCATTAATACTATCCCTGACAATAAACACAATAAACTGAAATTAATTATATCTGATCAAAAAAAGTCTGAGGTAAGAAGTAATATTACAAATTCAACTCGTAACAAACAAATCGACCTGATTATGCTTACTGAATTTGGGGGAAAAACACTCAAAGTTTAATTGCTTCAATACAAATATTTATAAATTGTATGCATCACTATGATACCTCATAATTGTATTTATTATATGCGGAATCACTGCCTTTGTCCAAAAGTCCCATTCATCAATAATAAAGCATACAGAAATAACAAATAACTATGAATTTATGTCAATAGAACTCACCATAAATGGTATTAATACCAAAGAATTCCTTTTACTTAATCATCTTCCGAATGACAATATCTAGCATTATTCTCAATGTTAGAGAGGCACCTGTCGTCGTCCAATGAGCATCTTATAGTTTTTGGTGATATCAATATCAACCTCCATCCAAAATTTGAGAAAAATCTATGTATAATATGTTTTGTTTGTACAAATGAAAAAAAAAAATCTCAACAAACATTGAAAATTTTCTTCTTCATTAATTCAACAATTTTCAAAATTAAAATGTAATTTGGTCAGCAATGGCAATACTGGAAAGACTTTAATTTTAAAATTTTATATGACTGAAGAATTTGAAGTGTTGAATGTACCATTAGTTTTTCACACAAATCTTGGTGCCATTCGTTTCAATGTTGCTGGTTCGTGTGTATGTGCGAAAATATTTCAATTATGTTATTTGGAAAGTTGATGCAAAGTTGACATTAAAGACCGTAAACTGAAAGCAAAGAACGCCGTATTCCATAGAAACAAGAATTTACAGTTTTACAATATTTCGGCAAAGTCAAATTACAATTTTGAGAAACCCTTCTTGTGGCTCTCCAGAAAATGAGATGGTGGTTCCAATTTGGAGTTTGTTGCAATGCATGCTTTACTTACATCAGAAGTTAAGATGGACAAAGAATGGAAAGATCAATTGGAATGGGAAATGGAGGAATCACAAAAGACTGCACTCCCTAAAGATGACGAGGATTTGTAAAAAGTTTAATAAACTGCAAACTGTGCGTCGAAATTTGGTCGTAAGTTCAACAGTTCCTACCAGCTTCCATACGACTGGAAAACCGAGGTAAGCTACATAAATATAGTGAGTTTTAAAAGAGCAATGGAACAGCTGAGAGCTTAGAAAGTGCTTTCGAATGAACAATAAGTTTAAGCCAAGGCGTACACTCTCGAGATTAATCCCAAATTTAATTAAAAATTTCAAAGAGAATTCAGGGCTGCTTTGAGTTCATAACTTTGCTTTTCTCTTACCGAAATTTTCAATTGATTGTAATAGGTCTCTAAATTTGGGGTCGTATGATTGCAAGTTTGTGTTTAATCCGCAATTTTTCCCAACATATGCACTCCTGGATTTAATTGTGTGATTTTTGAATGTGTTTTGAATGAATAATTGCAAGCCATGTTAGGAGGACTCTTGTTACCAAAATTTTCGTGTTATAACTTCTTAATCGCTGTTTTAACGGAACTTAATCAGCATTTTGATATTGTTACAAAATTAAAGTACATATGGATGCATAGTGCATTTGTTCTTAAATTTTATTATGTTTTATTTGTTAGCATCACAATATCTAACATAGGATAGATATAGTACCAGCATTCTATTGAAAAAAGTTTGACATATTGATTCTCGTAGTGCAAGAATAAGAAGATTAAGATAAATTTTGATTGCTATTTCAATTGGATGAATTTATCTTGTACGTTGAATAAGAAAATTAAATAGTGTTAATCTTAATTTGTTTTGATCCTTATATCCTAGAGAATACATTGGAATAAGTACCTATTTCATCTTGAGATTTAAATTCTTCCGCTGACAAACCATCCTTAATTTGTTTCTTGATGTGATTTGATTTAATCTAGAGGGTATGCGCATTGGTTCAAGCTCTCAGTGATTCAAGCAAGGCAGTATCAGCAATGATTGATTTTTTATATTCTTTAATGGTCTTTTTGTATTACTCTTTTCAGATCAGAAACCTGTCACTTTCAAAGTTGAACGCAGTTTAAGAAATGAATGAACTTGAATTGAAATACAGGTAGGAAAATTCTTACCAACATCATGCAACGATTTTTAGAGCCAAATTCATTTCTATTCGAGCGTTTGGATGAATCAAATTTGGGAACCTACTGTAAGTTTTTGCATTTTTCTTTTCATTGATATGACTCATTTTAAAGAGGAAAAAACATGTCTATTTGCAACTTCTTGTTACTGAATGTTGACTTTTTGATTGTAAATACTTCTTGATTTCGAAACCTTATTCGCTTCTTTATTAAAGTGTTTATAGCGATGTGTACTTAATGATCTGCAATCACAAAATAAGTTCATTTAGTTTCTTCAGCTATACTACAAAACGTGTAGCTTAGTTTTCCTTAAATTAAATTTAAATTGAAAACTTTTAATACTCATGTGCACTGATTTTCGCCAATTTAAATATCGAGATCCTTTTTAAATAATTTTTTCGGCTAATAGAACCGAAAAACATCTTGGAAGTGATGATTTTCTAATGTGTTCTTTTTAAGGATTCTTGAATTTTCTAATTTCATCAAATTAATGTCAAAGTAGACAGATTTGTCTTAGTTTCATTACTTACTTCTTCATAGACCATTTGATCAACATCATTTTCCTTCAATATTCCAAAACAAAGATGATCATATGCATATCCTTGTTGAATCCCAAAAATACCACGTAAATTTTTTGATTTGTACCATAAATCGTCAATAATCAGTGACCACAAAAGAGTAGGTGAAGGTTCCTCTCTTAAGGCAAATTAATTTTAATTTAATCAGACTTACAATCGACTTTCGTCGTATCAACTATCCCCAAAAAACATAAAACACTTATATAGATAACCCTTTTTAATTCATGACATAATAATCTGATACATAGCTGCGTCATTCGATTTTCCAAATTTATTAGATAAACTGATGCTTGGATGGACTATGAAAGTTAAGTTTTTGAACTTGCGTCTCATAATTAATTTCTCTAATGCAGTCATTTTTTCATTTTCTCATTCATGGAATTACTCTATATTCCTGAACATGCTTCATACTGTTCAATTTCTTTGCATTTTTTCATCAATGAGGCTTGCGCAGCTTTACTGATATCATATTCTTCCACTTTTTCTTAACATTTTTCGCCATAACTTTTTGATCCTTGTTGAGCAATTTACATTTGCCATCCGAGCTTTTCTTCAAATTTTTGATCAATTCGCTTATATTTCAATTGTAAACAGCCACGTCAATTGCCTTTTCTAATTCTTTTGCTGAATGAAGGTCCATTTCCTTCTTTTAAAATTCATGAGTAGCTAGTAGATTTGTTCTAGTAGATTTTGTTGATATATCATTGGTGCTATTAGTCAGATTTACTAATTTGTTCTTTTTCAATTTTTCTTTTCTTCATTCAAAAGATTCAAGATATTACTTCAATCACCAACAAGATATTTTCAAAATAACTGATTATAATTAAATTAATTCAAAGGGCACTTTCTTGCAATTGAATAATATATATGTATATAAGATCTGAATTGAAGCGTTGAACTAATAGGATCATTGCCAACAGAAAACTTTCTTGCAGCTTTTCGTAGTACACATTTCAAAGGAAGCTGACTTGAACCGGAAAAAGCTTGCCAAAACATCGACAGCTCTGCAGCAGACAGAGAAGAAAACCCACTTATTTTTTAATTTTTTTTTATATTAATTAATGTATACTTTTTGTTATTTCGTTCTTTTCTCCTTTTCTCCCTTTCTTTCACAGGATTCTACCAATTTATGTTGAAGAAAAAAGGTTTACAAGATTAGAAAGAACTGGCATCTCTGCCAACGATTCATCAAAACTATCAAAAAAATTTGGAACGTGGTGTTGAACTAATAACATCATTATCAACAGAAGACTGCCTCGCAACTTTGAAAAGAATAACAAAAGAGAGTAAAACAAATTTCAAAGGAAGTTCAACTCTACAATCTGATCACTGGAGATGACTCAAAAGCGGTAAACAGAAACAGCTAAAATAATAATCATTCAACTCACCACTGACGAATTTTGCAACCATTTCAACTTTATTGGATTTCCAAGATTGACAATTGAGGAACAAGATTGACAGTTTAAACTCCTATTTTTGGAAAATCTGAAATTGATAAGATGGCTGAAGGCAGTTAAATCAGCAGAAAGAGGCACTCAAGAATCGTTCAAATAATTATTTATTTTTTACAGAGGATACATCTAATTTCTTTAAGAATGTGAGTGGCTGCATATTTATTGATTAGTTTAGAAATGTAGAATTAGAAAATAAAGTAATTTTCTCGATGTTACATGTATGTAGGAATAAGCTTTTGATGCTCTTGCATAAAGAAGACAATTTGGGAGATAAAATGACTGAACAGAAGAATATGAAGTCAAGTAGCAACAAAGAGAGCAGATTCAGCGACAACTCTTCAACAGACGGAGAAGAAAACATTTTTTTAAAATTTTTTTAACCATATTAATGAATGCATGCTTTTATTCTTACTTTCTTTTCTTCTTTTGTTCTTTTCTTTTCTTTCACAGGATTCTGGAGATTGATGAAGCGAATCTCAATCTGTTCACTGGAGATGACTCAATAAAAATAAGAAATAAGTATGTAAAGGCATTACTGAGACGTGAAGAGAACATGCTTGAAAGTCACCAAAGAATTCTGCTTTGGATTAAGGTAATAATTTTTTAACCAACATTTTTGAATTATTTGAGCATATAAAAGGAGAAAACGCCCCACCGTCCTGTCAATTTTTTTTTTTCGGTCCTAAGAGTTCTTACATTTTATCAGTTAAGAAAGCTTTAGAACCGCAAATACAAAAGGAGTCATAAAGAGAATTAATGTAATACTTTTAGGCCAATGAATAATGGATATCAAGAACAGAAAGGAGGGATCATCGCATCAACAAATTTGGAATAGCCGAATAAATAATCTATCATTGACTAGCTTTGACAGTATCCAGAATCAATTATCAGTTGATAACGAAGAATTAACAAAACAATCAATGAGCAATAAAACCAATACTCAACGAGCTATGCTAAGAAAAAGTTGGACGAATGCTCAAAGTCAATCGCTAGCACTCAACGTGAGTAGTGAACAGTTCTAGTTCTAAGAGTAATAGTAATAATTAATTTATTGATTCAACCACAGCCAACAACAACACTATATAATAACACAAAAATTGATGTCAAATTTCGATGTTATGTGACACCGTCAAGTGAACAACGTGTCTGTCTATGGTCAGTACTTTCATGGACTGAATTATCTTTATATAATTTTATGGTTTGAAAAGATGAGAAGGCATTGCTGAGACGTAAAGAGAACATGCTTGAAAGTCATCAAAAACTTTCGCTTTGGATTAAGGTAATAATTTTTTAACCAACATTTTTGAATTATTTGAGCATATAAAAGGAGAAAACGCCCCACCGTCCTGTCAATTTTTTTTTTCGGTCCTAAGAGTTCTTACATTTTATCAGTTAAGAAAGCTTTAGAACCGCAAATACAAAAGGAGTCATAAAGAGAATTAATGTAATACTTTTAGGCCAATGAATAATGGATATCAAGAACAGAAAGGAGGGATCATCGCATCAACAAATTTGGAATAGCCGAATAAATAATCTATCATTGACTAGCTTTGACAGTATCTAGAATCAATTATCAGTAGATAACGAAGAATTAACAAAACAATCAATGAGCAATAAAACCAATACTCAACGAGCTATGCTAAGAAAAAGTTGGACGAATGCTCAAAGTCAATCGCTAGCACTCAACGTGAGTAGTGAACAGTTCTAGTTCTAAGAGTAATAGTAATAATTAATTTATTGATTCAACCACAGCCAACAACAACACTATATAATAACACAAAAATTGATGTCAAATTTCGATGTTATGTGACACCGTCAAGTGAACAACGTGTCTGTCTATGGTCAGTACTTTCATGGACTGAATTATCTTTATATAATTTTATGGTTCGAAAAGATGAGAAGGCATTGTTGAGACGTAAAGAGAACATGCTTGAAAGTCATCAAAAACTTTCGCTTTGGATTAAGGTAATAATTTTTTAACCAACATTTTTGAATTATTTGAGCATATAAAAGGAGAAAACGCCCCACCGTCCTGTCAATTTTTTTTTTTCGGTCCTAAGAGTTCTTACATTTTATCAGTTAAGAAAGCTTTAGAACCGCAAATACAAAAGGAGTCATAAAGAGAATTAATGTAATACTTTTAGGCCAATGAATAATGGATATCAAGAACAGAAAGGAGGGATCATCGCATCAACAAATTTGGAATAGCCGAATAAATAATCTATCATTGACTAGCTTTGACAGTATCCAGAATCAATTATCAGTTGATAACGAAGAATTAACAAAACAATCAATGAGCAATAAAACCAATACTCAACGAGCTATGCTAAGAAAAAGTTGGACGAATGCTCAAAGTCAATCGCTAGCACTCAACGTGAGTAGTGAACAGTTCTAGTTCTAAGAGCAATAGTAATAATTAATTTATTGATTCAACCACAGCCAACAACAACACTATATAATAACACAAAAATTGATGTCAAATTTCGATGTTATGTGACACCGTCAAGTGAACAACGTGTCTGTCTATGGTCAGTACTTTCATGGACTGAATTATCTTTATATAATTTTATGGTTTGAAAAGATGAGAAGGCATTGCTGAGACGTAAAGAGAACATGTTTGAAAGTCATCAAAAACTTTCGCTTTGGATTAAGGTAATAATTTTTTAACCAACATTTTTGAATTATTTGAGCATATAAAAGGAGAAAACGCCCCACCGTCCTGTCAATTTTTTTTTTTCGGTCCTAAGAGTTCTTACATTTTATCAGTTAAGAAAGCTTTAGAACCGCAAATACAAAAGGAGTCATAAAGAGAATTAATGTAATACTTTTAGGCCAATGAATAATGGATATCAAGAACAGAAAGGAGGGATCATCGCATCAACAAATTTGGAATAGCCGAATAAATAATCTATCATTGACTAGCTTTGACAGTATCCAGAATCAATTATCAGTTGATAACGAAGAATTAACAAAACAATCAATGAGCAATAAAACCAATACTCAACGAGCTATGCTAAGAAAAAGTTGGACGAATGCTCAAAGTCAATCGCTAGCAATCAACGTGAGTAGAGAACAGTTCTAGTTCTAAGAGCAATAGTAATAATTAATTTATTGATACAACCACAGCCAACAACAACACTATATAATAACACAAAAATTGATGTCAAATTTCGATGTTATGTGACACCGTCAAGTGAACAACGTGTCTGTCTATGGTCAGTACTTTCATGGACTGAATTATCTTTATATAATTTTATGGTTCGAAAAGATGAGAAGGCATTGCTGAGAAGTAAAGAGAACATGCTTGAAAGTCATCAAAAACTTTCGCTTTGGATTAAGGTAATAATTTTTTAACCAACATTTTTGAATTATTTGAGCATATAAAAGGAGAAAACGCCCCACCGTCCTGTCAATTTTTTTTTTTTCGGTCCTAAGAGTTCTTACATTTTATCAGTTAAGAAAGCTTTAGAACCGCAAATACAAAAGGAGTCATAAAGAGAATTAATGTAATACTTTTAGGCCAATGAATAATGGATATCAAGAACAGAAAGGAGGGATCATCGCATCAACAAATTTGGAATAGCCGAATAAATAATCTATCATTGACTAGCTTTGACAGTATCCAGAATCAATTATCAGTTGATAACGAAGAATTAACAAAACAATCAATGAGCAATAAAACCAATACTCAACGAGCTATGCTAAGAAAAAGTTGGACGAATGCTCAAAGTCAATCGCTAGCACTCAACGTGAGTAGTGAACAGTTCTAGTTCTAAGAGCAATAGTAATAATTAATTTATTGATTCAACCACAGCCAACAACAACACTATATAATAACACAAAAATTGATGTCAAATTTCGATGTTATGTGACACCGTCAAGTGAACAACGTGTCTGTCTATGGTCAGTACTTTCATGGACTGAATTATCTTTATATAATTTTATGGTTCGAAAAGATGAGAAGGCATTGCTGAGACGTAAAGAGAACATGCTTGAAAGTCATCAAAAACTTTCGCTTTGGATTAAGGTAATAATTTTTTAACCAACATTTTTGAATTATTTGAGCATATAAAAGGAGAAAACGCCCCACCGTCCTGTCAATTTTTTTTTTCGGTCCTAAGAGTTCTTACATTTTATCAGTTAAGAAAGCTTTAGACCGTAAATACAAAAGGAGTCATAAATAAAGAGAATTAATGTAATACTTTTAGGCCAATGAATAATGGATATCAAGAACAGAAACGAGGGATCATCGCAGCAACAAATTCGGAATAGCCGAATAAATAATCTATCATTGACTAGCTTTGACAGTATCCAGAATCAATTATCAGTAGATAACGAAGAATTAACAAAACAATCAATGAGCAATAAAACAAATACTCAACGAGCTATGCTAAGAAAAAGTTGGACGAATGCTCAAAGTCAATCGCTAGCAATCAACGTGAGTAGAGAACAGTTCTAGTTCTAAGAGTAATAGTAATAATTAATTTATTGATACAACCACAGCCAACAACAACACTATATAATAACACAAAAATTGATGTCAAATTTCGATGTTATGTGACACCGTCAAGTGAACAACGTGTCTGTCTATGGTCAGTACTTTCATGGACTGAATTATCTTTATATAATTTTATGGTTTGAAAAGATGAGAAGGCATTGCTGAGACGTAAAGAGAACATGCTTGAAAGTCATCAAAAACTTTCGCTTTGGATTAAGGTAATAATTTTTTAACCAACATTTTTGAATTATTTGAGCATATAAAAGGAGAAA